TTGAGACTGTGGGTCTGTCGGTTAATGTTAGCTGATAGCCGATGGATCGTCATCATCTTCATCCTCGCACCAGGATCAGACGGTCTGTAACGAGCTATCTTCAAAGATGTAGAACTTCTGCTTACGCATCCGACAAACCTTGCTGGCGTTATATGGAACGAAAGTAATGTGCCTGTAGAATGAGGTACATCCTAGTCTCTCTCTAGTGCTTCTGCAAGACTGGGTGGACTCAAGATTGCCTTTGAACAAGCCGATTGATGCACGCAATTTTTTATACCTGGGAAGCTGTACTGTTTCCGATATTTAGTCAAAAACTACATCTCCATCTAGATTGGGAAGGCCCGTGCAGCTTTTGATAAATTTATCACCTGTGGCGCAGGCATGATCAACTTGTCAACGATTGAGTTTACAACGCCGCTTTACGCTTTGTGTCGTCGTATGGGCGATAATCTTTCAGTGTTTGATAATCGATATATTCTGAGCATTGTCCGCGTCTGGTGTGGACAATGATGCAGAATTGAGTCGAATGGAAGAAATAACGGAAGAAGGGAGAAAAATCGCCAACGACAGATGAACTGATCGCATTCCGTAGTTTGCTCCGGCTTGGTCACGTACTCCCTGTGCCAGTCGGCCAACTTCCTCGAAAGGCTTTTTTTCGCACAACCGCAGAAGCGTAGAAACGAGGTGAAGCAACGACTTGGCAGCGGAATGTGAACGCCACTACAAGCGAAATTGGCTACCCTGGTCTTTCTGGATGGGGACCCCGGGATGGGACATACCAATGATTGAAGCCGTCAGGCACGGCCCAGTCGTGCGTTCAGTGGCGCGCATGCATCCAGGCAGTTGCCTTCAAATTATGGCCCCCTCCCGATCTACCCAATGAAAAATCCGCTGTTTGGCGCATCAATTATATCAGCTATAGCCTACGCTATAGCTATAGTGTGGCTACCTACGTCGGGCGAAATAACTCACACTCGATAGATGAACTGATCACACTGCGTAGGTTGCTCTGGCTTGGCCACGTGCTGCGTATGTTATTCGACCGACTTCCTCTTTTTGCACAATCACGTGAAGGGTGGACTAAAGCCAGAGACGGTCTAACAATGACTTAGCAGCGAAGTATAAAAACCATTACCGGCAAACTCAGATGCGCTGGTCATTGCCGCCTTCCTGGATGGGGACTCCGAGATGGGCCGTATCAATGGTTAGGGGCATTATCAGACAGCCCAGTCGCACCCTCAATGGCGCTCATGCATCCAAGCTATTGCCTTCAATCGATAGCTCCCTTCCCAATCCCTCCACTTAACAGTCCACCCACAATCCTGTATTTACGCACTAGTTTATCATCTCCCGCCCCCAGTGCGCAGCTACCTACGACTCCTCCCTGAATCATTGGTGAACGAAGCTGTGGCAGCTATAATCATTGTACAAGTACGCTGAAGATAATAACGATGATGCGACCACACTCTTTTTTGTGTCTTCAGGAACATCAAGTTATCATGGAAGTTCGCAGGTGTATATTTGGAACAAAAGACTCAGGGCACGTCTAAGCACAATGATATCGGAAAACATGATTAGATTGTTTAGAAGCATTCTTAGAAAGCCCACCTATCGTCTATCCTAACGAGCGCTTGGGCATTAAAGCGTGATGACTCAGTGTGGAACCTCTTATTATTCAACTCACTAGAGTTAGTGCATCCCGTCTTCGTACAAAGGGCTCTGAAGGTGAGAACGCCTGGCTTATGCTGGTTTGTGGCATGACATTCCCGTGACCTATCTCGAACATCTTTTCCAGGTCATGTCATGTAGACGAAATGGCTTAACCTACAGCAGCCCGCAGATTGAACTGTTTCGTTCTCTGCTGGTCGTAACGTTTTCCACATAGAGCAACACTAATAAGGTTGCTGAAAACTTTCCGATGGCCCACTACCAGCTTCTTTCTTCAGAATTATTATCATAGAGAGACTCGAATGAGATTAGGTTACGTGTCGTTAATATCACCTCCCAATCTCCAAGCTAGTGACAAGCCAAGGTAATTTGCAATCTAAGGGTATCATCTCTGTCCTCCGGTACAGACTTCTTCATATTTTTGGCATATGGGACTAAAAAGCTGATGGCTGAAATCAGTGTGTGGTTATCCCAAACCTGCTTGAATTTATAAGGCGTAAAGGTACAAAGAGTGAGTTGATTATGTTTTTCAAGCAGTGGAGCCAAGACATTTTCTTTTCAGGGACTTTGATCAGTTGGTTCACAAGTCACGTCAGATTTACATTTGCATTGTTTCGATGACATGTCATCCGAATGTAGTTGTTTCGAAAAACTGACATCTTGCACAACTGTTAAAGGTGCTTTTTATAAAGCCGTCATCGAATTTTCCCATGGCATGTGCGTCGTGTTGTGTACAAAAATCGGATTTGTCCCCATGTCGTACGCATCACCATGTATGAGTCCCAGCCCGAGCAGTCGCAGTCGTTCTTACCAGTAACCTATTGGCTACTCTACTGAGCGCGCGCCATAACAGTCGACCATAGAAGTCATGGCCAGACTTAGACCTTACTAGCCAGTGTCTCTTCCTTTGCCTTCAAATCCACTGTTTTCTCCTGCGGGGTATACTAAATTGCAATTTTTCTAATATTAGAACGGAGAAGTCGTCATAATCATCATCATTATCGACACCATGACATCAGTGTTCATCATCCATGCTTCACTGCAGTACAACCGTGATTTATTTGAAAGCCTTATTGTAAAGAAAAGAGCGAAGGTGGACGGGGAAGGGACTTAGTGCTAGCTTAACACAATCATTCCGAAGTACCTATACCTCTGGACATTCATTCAGGCGATCTGGATAGAAGCTGACAGCAAAATCGCCACTGACATCGGTTGGCAGCCATATCTTGTAGTGTCTCCAACCAGGCACAGTGAGGATCACGCGGTCCCTATCCTGGAAGGCGAG